GAATGGAAAGGCAAATGTATATGCAAATAGACCTATAGAAAGGTGGGATGATATTGTTATGTTGTGTGGGACAGATAGAGCAACCGGTGAAGGTGCTGAAACATTTGAAGATGCTGATGAAGCAATGGTGGGAGAGGATGAAAATGATGTAGAGTACTTAATACCACCTGCTGCCCCACCAACACAGCCTTCCACATCATCTACAATTGAGTCCCATCAAAAGAAACGGAGGAAAGATCCATTGGTTGCTATTGTTGTTGACATTGCTTCATCACTCAAGGAGTACATGAACTTGAAAAAGAAACCAAGTGGTCAAGAGATATATGAAGTGGTATCAACAATTTTGGGTCTTTCTCAACAAGAAATATTCAAGGCAGTCCAATTGTTATTAAATGGTGATCCTGAGCAATTTTATTTGCTAAAATCACTTCCTGATGACAAGAAATATGATTGGTTGGCTTTCCTTTTAAGTTCAGGTTGTATTTTTAAATATAATTGTCTTTTTATATTTTATATTTTCTAATTTATAGAATCTAATTCTTTGATCTTGTCTTATTATTCAATTGGTTTCTCTGGCACAAGCAGTACATGAAATGGTATGTTGAAGCTTTCAATTTAGGTTAAATACCCTTTTTGGTCCCTCTACTATAGTAAAAAGCCCCTTTTTAGTCCCTATACCGAAAAAATCCCTTTTTTGGTCCTTATTGTTTGAAATCCGGCCCCTTTTTAGTCCCTCCGTTAAACTTTTGCTGATGTGGCAGGTTAACTAACGGAATCATTTGAATATTTTTTATACAAATAATATTATAAATGAGGTGGAAATTATATGGATGCCACCTGTACAAATTAAAAATTTTACTTTTAATTCATCAATTAAATGAATTTAAATAGGATTAATTTTAATTTTTTAATCGTTTTTGTCTTCTTTGTTAACATTGATAAATTTCTAGGCCTAAAGCACCGTGGGAAGAGTTGCAGATTACGCTGACCTTCTTTCTCCTCCTGCTTGGCATCATACTCATCCTCATCAGCTGCTAGGCTCTTTGCAGGTTGGTGAACCTAGTTTGGGTTCTTCACGGAACGCTTTTGTTGGGTTCACAGAACCCAGTTCCTGGGTTAGTGGAACCCAGATCTGGGTTCCGCGAAGAACCCAGTTGCTGGGTTCGCGAAACCCAGATCTGGGTTCCGCGAGGAACCCAGTTGCTAGGTTCCGCGAGGAACCCAGTTGCTAGGTTCTGCGAACCCAGTTTCTGGGTTCCTTGCTTGCTGGGTTCAAGGAACATTGCTGGGTTCGCAGAACCTGGTTTTTGGGTTCCTTGCTTGCTGGGTTCAAGGAACCCAATTTCTGCTACATTGAGGCATTGAATCACTTTTTTCATTTGATCAATTGTTGGGTTAATTAATTGTTTTTAACAGGTACTTCCAAGAAGGAAGTTGAATAGGTTTTGTTGGTTCATGAGATGAGTTTTAGTCCTTTTGGTTGAACAAATGCATTACTCGTGGGTACGCAACGGTACGCAATGAACCCAGCTTCTGGGATCACGATGAACCCACAAGCTGGGTTCATCGCGACAAACTCAATCTTTCTAATGGCTCAGAACATTCTAGCTTTGCTGATAGATTTATGGTGTTGCTTGCAATAACATTTTTTAGGACACCTGGAAAGATTGGAACAGCTTACCTTCAGGCACCTGGGTTCTTTTCTTTTCTTTACCTTCAGGCGAACCCAGGAGCTGGGTTCGTCCTGAACCTAGGCATCTGGGTTCATCGCAAACCCGCGAGCTGGGTTCCTCGCGAACCTAACCTAGGTTCGCCTGGAGGTAAAAGGAAAAAAAGAAAAAAAAAAAAGGGCGAATGACGTGGAGGGTGACGTGGCAGGTGTCATAAGTCCATGTAAACATTTTTTACACGTTGGCATATCCACATCAACTATTTCAGTTAAGTTAACGTGCCACGTAAGCAAAAATTAACGGAATGACTAAAAAAGGGCCGGATTTGTGAACAGTAAGGACCAAAAAGGGGATTTTTTCGGTATAGGGACTAAAAAGGAGCTTTTTCCTATAGTAGAGGGACCAAAAAGGGCATTTAACCTTCAATTTATTAATCACGTTGAAGGTTCTATAAACATATAAATTATATTTCTCTATTATCAGTTCTGGTTTTTGTTTTTCTAGATTGGAGCTACCGTATAGTTGATTAGCTATAAAATAACATTGCTAGATTGGCTTGCATATTGATAGGTTTAAGTGGAATGAGCTTTGTTTACTATTATCCTGTATTCAGGTTGGTGGAGGGGTGGGTGTTTTAAACATGAAATGTAGTTGTAGATACGATCAAACAATGAATATGTGATTTTGCAATGGAATTAATTGGAAAGCATATATCTGCTTAGGTTGCACTTGGCCATGGAATTTCGTACACCAGTGTTTAGTGCATTGTTTGATTTACCACATTACAGCCTTTTTTTCTTTTTCTTTTTCTTTTTTTGTGTTTAACTGGATTAGTAAGAGGGGCAATATGCTAAGTCTATTAGTTCTTCCTTTGTCCACCATTTCATAACGTAGAACATGTTCTGATTTTGTGTGAAATTTTTATTCCCTTTTACTGTTTTAATTTATTAATCTAACGCTGAAAGCAAGAGGCAAACTATTGGGACAAAAATATAGCTTTGAAAGAGCTCTAACTTGAGCACGGGGCCTTCAGTTTACATGTTATCACTAATTACAATCAAGGATTTGATTCTACTTGAAAAGTTGATGTTTGATAAATCCACTGAATCAAGAAATTAATTGGGAAAAAATGCTGAATAAGATGTAAAATTTTCACTCCTTCTTCATCCCTTGTCATATTTACCTTGAGAAACAATGAGTTAATAAATTCTTAGTCCTCCTTTACTTTGTCACTGGTAAAAGTGCTACTTATTTTCTATACGGTATATTTATATTTATATTTCTCTATTATCAGTTGATTAGCTACAACCTTGTGCCAGCATTAGTGAAAGTTGTCTCTTTGGCATTTCCAGGTTCCGGATCTCTTACTTCACCTTTCGTAAAGGTTTCTGCCACTCTATCTAGCTTCTCTAGCAGAGCAATTTAAGTGCCAGTTGAAGCTGGTTTCCTACTGCTCTCAGCCATATCTACTTCTCTTGGAATTTGCTCGTCAGACACTTCATTAGCTGTTTTCTCTGTGCTGCTCTGCTCTTGTGATAGTGCTACACTTGATTCCTAATATAAGATAGAAACATGAGCTGTTTAGCTTGAGTTTTTTTACAAGTTATCTTTTTTATTAACTGTTGTAAATCACCGAAGAAGGAAGGAGGGTTGGGTTTATAAGTTACTTACCTCTTCAATTTGAATATCTTTACCCCTTCAGTCTGAATATCTTTTGCTATGGTTTTAAATGTTGCATTGTTCTCCTCAGCACCTAGAAATCCATTCTTTAGTTGATCTTTACCTAGAAATTCATTGTTTTAAATACATGAATGGTATGTTAGTGGAGGTCATTGTTTTTTTTTTTTTTTCTTATCTAA